ATAATATTCCTCATAATTTTACAGATGTTACGGGAGCTGCCTCTAGGGTCACGTGGAAGTGTCTAGAGATCTCTCGAGGTGGTTTAAACTAGACTTCAAGTAGGAATTCAATAAGGTTGTAACTAATTACAATTCTTATAACTATAATAATAAAACTAATGATTGTTTTTAAGTATGAAGTTTTATATTCTAATAAAATTTATTTGTTATATAGATCTTTGTCATCTAAAGCCCTTAGGATCTGTATGCTCCTGGAGTCTGTAGCTTCTTAAGGCTCCCTTATGTAATATGCGAATGTGTTATGTAATGTCTGTCGTAACAACAGATTAAATATAATTATAATTCAATATTATAATATATTCTGTTTTTTATTAATATTTAAATTAGTTCTATTTTTAATAAATTTAAAAGAAAAATCTTTTTTAGAAATATCTTATTATTAAATATATAATCCTAATATTTAATTTTTATAATTCTTTTAATAATTGATTATATATATATATTTAATAAAATATAGTTTTTTTTAGTTTTCTAATTAAAATTAATTTATTAATAATATTATATAATTAAAAAAAATTAAAAATTATTATAAAATACTTGATTTATAATTAATTTTTATTTTAAAAAAGATTATTTATAAAAGCTTAGAATAATATATTGATATAATATCAAATTTACAATATAAAAACTTAATTTTTTCAATTCTTTATATTAAAATATATTCAAATTTATATAAAAAAAAATTAATTTTCGTTATTCTTATCAATAAATAAATTAATATAACGTAACGTATGGGGAACTCGGACATATGGGGAACTCGGACACTTTTTCAATTATTCTACACGCGATCTTGTTCTACGAGCCACACAATCCTCCAATTCCAATTCCGAATCACTTGAACTATTCTCTAGCTCTTCTTCTTCAATCTCTTCTTCTGATTCTTCAATTGGGCGTTTGCGTGGCCGTCCTCGTGGCTTTTCCTCCTTCGGTTTTTCCTCCGCCTCACGTACCATTTTCAATACTTCCTTAGTACTAAAGACAAATTGACCTTGTAATTTGACTCTTTTGCCTTTAGTTCTTTTCTTTCGAGTCTCAATTACCTCCTGAGCATCAGAGAGCTGTTTCCGAAGTAGGGCTATCTCAGCATTTTGAGATTCTACAAGCCTAGTCATTCTCTTGGCATATCGACGAGTTGGCGATGCAGGAGAACCACTGCTTGCTAGAGCTGTATTAAAGATCTGATTTGCTTGCCTTAGTTCTGTTCCATCTGGAGGAGAACTCCTGAGTATAGACAAGTCTAGGTCTTGATTGGGGGTTCTCATTTGTGGAGTAGAAGGTTGCTGGGAGGAGTTAAATGGTAATGAATCGAGTACTTTTCGTGGGGCAAAAGGTACTAAACCAGCTCCTCTCCAGCCAGCTTTAATATTAGAAGAATTCAATGCTTTTTTTCTAATATTTTGAAAGAGTTCTACCCATTCAGCTCTTTGGATTCGCTTTACACCAGCTCGAGAATATCGATCGACCTCTAAAGCATGATATCGTTTCATTGGCCCATACACCGCAATATCAAGTGGCTGAAGCAAGTGAGAGCAATGAGGAGGTAATATAAGTAAATCAATATCATTATCTATACAGAAAGCAATAAAGCTACCTGTAATATGGCTTGAATGGCCATCCATGATCAAAAGTCGAGGTCGGTCACCTGACACTTTCTTGGATTCTGGTTCGAAAACCCTTTTTAACCATTCTAATCCATGGCTATTTGAGGTCCATCCATTTGTACTAGTAGAGAACTGCCAGCTTTGAGGTGTGTCCTTTGGAATCCATGCAGAATTCGTATTCTGAGCCTTGAAAATGACCATAGGTGATAGAGCATTTCCAGCTGCATTGACACATTCAAATGCAGTTATCCATTCTTGCTTGCCAGCCGTAACTTTCCAATTCGATTTCTGAGTAGAATCGACTATAATGCGCGTACTTTGAGTACTTCCAACTCCAAATCCGGTTTCATCCATATTATACATATCATCTAATTCATACTTTCGCTCAATGAGACGCGTGCGAAACGCGTCAAACCAAGCCTGAATATTCTCCGGAGTTGCTTCTTTAGCCCGATTAGACTCTAATTGACGTGAATAGCATGTTTTAAGTTCTGGATGTCGTTTTTGGAATCTATAGATCCATTCGTGGCCTATAGGTGGAATTTCTGTCGAGGTAGGATTTCGAGATGACGCGACCCGAACGCGTCGAAGACGAATTTCGTCGGCCATTTCCTTCACCAACATAGGTGTAGCAGGGAATCCAGTGATGGTAAGTCGTGAAATCCATCGTACAAGAGTATTTTCTTCTGCGTTTGAAAGAATTTGAGCCATTTCGTGGGTTTGGGAACGTGTTTTCTTCCCAGCCAGCCTATCAGCTAGGGTAGACTTAGGGACTTCAAAATGCTCTGCAGCCTTTCTAATTGATTTAAATTCTTTCAATTGAAGTGAAATTATAGCCTTTTGAAGCTTCTCTTCAATTTAAGCAGATGTAGAAGGTGATTGGGTATGCATAATAAAAGTTATTGCGGTTTCAAGTTGGTGATGGGCTAAAAGTGTCCGAGTTCCCCATACGTTACGTTATAATATTTTTATATTAATAATTTTAATATTGAAATTATATTATATATAATGATTATTTTTATATTTTAATTACTTTATAAAAAATAAATAGTAATATAATATATTATTTATAATTATTAATAAAACTCAATAATTAATTGATTATATATTGAATTTAGAATATCTTTTTTAAAAGAAATAAAAGTGTGCACGATGTAGGGATATCGGTTATCTGATACTGATATGGGAAGATTATGTACCTGTGATGATACATGTTGCGACTACTCCCATGCATACATGAGTCCCATTGTAAAAGTTTATTCACAAAGGAGGAAAGCACAGCTACCGAGGCCCATTTGAATCATTTTGTCAATACTTGAAAAGTTAGGTTTTGTATGGGCTAAAAGTGTATTTAGAATTTAATGGTGTGTTTATATTAATAAGAATATTCAATTCAATATATAATCTTAAGAAAATATATAAAATAAAAAGAAAAGAGATATTAGTATGAATTAGAATTCAAAAAATCGATTGATATAAAAAATTAAAATTATCTCAAAAATTAAAATTTATATTCAATATAAAAGTATTTGAATAAGAAAGATTAAATATTAAAACTATATTATTATTTAAGTTTATTCAAATAATTTTATATTGAATATAAATTTCAATTTTTGAGATAATTTGAAAAAATTTATATCAATCGATTTCTTGAATTCTAATTCATACTAATATCTCTTTTCTTTTCTTTTTATTAATCTTTTAAGATTTTGTATCGAATAAAAGAATTCTATAATTTCTAGATGCTAATTAATGAAAGCTTGATTAGTTATATATCCTAATATTTAAAATATAAATAAAAATAGTTTAGTTATTATAGTTAAACTAATTATAATTTCATTAAATTGGATTAGAATTTCAGTTTTTGATATAATTTAAATATAATTATATTAATCGATTTGTTGAATTTGAATTAATAATTTTCTTTTTTTCTTTTTTTTTTTTCTTTTATTCTTTTGAAGTTATATACTAAATTGAATAATTTTTATCAATATTACAAAAACTGATTTTTAATTCGAAATAAGCGAGATAAGAAATCCTTATCGAAATTCTCTCGCTTATCAGTAATTAATCTATACATAAAAAGAAAACTATTTAAAAAAAATTATATATTAGAATTTAAATATTAATATACTTCTTATAGAAAATTCTGAAATAAATTCTAAAATCATATTAATAATATTAATAATAAAAGCTTTTTAATAATATAATTTTTTTATAAAACTATTATTTATTATATAGTTCTATATAATACAATTTTCTTTCTAAGATTTCTATATACACACCATATAAATTTTAGAAATTCTTTTTAAACCATGCAAAACTTAACTTTTCAGGTATTAGCAAAATGATTCAAATGGGCCTCGGTAACAGCTCCAAAGGCAAGCCATCGGGAATATAATGCAAAAACCGGGCATACACAATGGGAGAGTAGACAATGGAGGAGAATAATGTTAGTCAACCACAAACCGCACGGTGAAAGTCTTAAGGTCTGGTGTACTTCCCAGACTAATCAACGACATTTTGCGTATTAACAAGTCGATTGAAGATCCATAGAACTTCGGGTAGAAGCTGAAGATCTACTGGGGTTTCATTCTACAGGTGAACGGACTAGATGGGAACGCCGGGCGGGTCTTTTTTCCAGATCTGTTTTTCAAAAAGAATGTTACAGGATGTATGGTGCTCTCATGGCTTGTGTAAGCGGCTCAGTGATTTTCTTACGAGAGAAGCGGTGCAATCTTTCAACTTACCTTTTACGAGATGAATGCACCAGCTCAACTTTGTCACAGTATTTGGAAAACAGGGGAATTTCGCAGGAACAATACTATATGGAAACAAAGACGTGATGGGCTAATAGAGCCTGCTCTTGCAAATGAGTAGAATGTTACCCCTTCAAGTTGGTATATTCCTCAGTATGTATGGTTGTTAGCTTGGAGCTGGATTAGTGAAATCGTGGGTTACATATGGTATCATATGGGAAAGTTGTTCAAGCGATTAGCCAAGACGAAGGTGGAACAGACGGAGCAGGGTGTTTGATGTGATTTAGGTTAGCCTGTGGGAGTGTCAAAGTTGTAGATCTAATTAAAAGATTTATTAGGATCCAGAATTTTCAATATCAATACATCTGTCTTGTAAAACCACTTTTATCACGTGCATTCTTAGAGATGAGGCTGAAATGATCTTACTCACGTGATCATTTGCAATTTCCACAGGCGGGGGCAGGGTACACCTACATACAGGTACCGCGCTCAGCGCAATTGAAAATCCCAAGTTTATCGTCTGCTATCCACGCGTAGAGAGAAACTAACTTAGGATTTCTTCTGGAATTGGAATTCGAATATGGCTCCACAAACTACCAACTGGGCAGTCGAGATAGCCAAAGGTCGAATGGCCACAACTAAAGACGAATACGAAGAGATGAATAACCAGATGTCACGCATGGGCTTGAAGGGTGCTTATAATCCAGCAAATGTCTATCCTGGATCTCGTTTCACTCCGAGCTCGAAGCCCACACCAGAAGAAGTTCGTGAGAGGGCTCGATTGTCATCACAAAAGATACTATCGGATTAGAATACACTGAGGACCATTGTTCAGTTACACGCCGATACATTAGAAAAGCGTTGGATGAAAAAGTCGAGAAAGAAACAGAGGGATATGCTTCTGGAAGCTTGGCCCAATATGTCTACTACACATCGTCCTGATTACGAGGCATTCAGACAGGAGTGTACCGGACGCATACTCATGGGACTCTCGAAATTTCAGGAAGCTTACAAGTGGCCTTATATCAACCTGCAAGACCTCAGTAGCAAATCTCTGATCATTTTCATCATTAGTCAAGGACACAACCCTCCAAGCGCGTTTGCTCGCGCCGACCTCAATGCAACACACCTTGGAACTGTTGCGCATTTTATTCCTGAGCCAGCTTTCCTTCCCTTTCATACACTGTTCTTGGACGGTGATGAAGTGGAAACATATGGAAGATTAGTTTCGTGGGAGGAGGATAATGATGCTGCTGATCTGATGTTTACAGAAAGACAATTCAGCCCTGGTGACGGTTTGAAAGCATTTGAACTTCAAGAAAAGATATATCCTTTCCTCATCAGATGTTGTGAGCTCATTCTTCACGACTTCACCAAAGCGGTTGCTTTGCTTGATGCAAATATTCCATCAGGTATCCCACCGGATTCGATCATTGCTCCGGAGCCCACTTCATCTACCGTCACCGAAATACTTCCATCTCTAGCCACCATTTCAGCGGAAGCACCGTATCGTTTACCAGCGAATATCGATTTTGAGCGCCTCCGTGAAATATTTGCTGCAAGACTTGCAGCAGCAGAAGACTATCTCTTTGATTTGAGGGAGGATCCTGGTTTTTTTGCTGACACAATCATCGATTGGAGCGAGCATCGGAATGATGCATTGTTAGACACAAATGGCAATCCACATCCAACTGGACCACACACTCAGGATTTCTGGGGCCGCGTGGTTAGAAATATAATCGGTGACGGATATTCCAACTACGAAACTTGGTTTCTTCTTCATCGACAAGCTGCTCTATTATGCACATTGATGGAAAAATACAAGGATGAAATTTCTTATAACAAACAACTTCCCAAGGAATACCTCACTGCCATTTTGAAGTTTAGAGAACTGTAAGGATATATTTCTTGCCCGATATACAACACTTTGAAGCTAACCATTTTGAAGACTCAAGATAAGTGCGGAAGCACCGATCAACTACCTCCAGAATATCCAGTCCTCACCACCCCTCCGACATCACTTTACACGTGCTCCGCAAGCACCGGGCACAATCAATATGTATATAATGCCCAAAGATGAGAGGAGTCCATTTTTTCACAAACCATGGGGTCTTTTGTTGATTTTATGGGACCGGGAGAAACGAGATTTATTTGGATTGACGAATGTCATTGATGCATTTGAACAACTGATGCAGGACCCAGAAGAAAGCAAGAATATCTCTTCATATATTGCAGATCGATTCTCAGATCTAGCCATATTGTCTCGAGCACTTTATGAAGTTGAGAATTATCAGCCTTGGGCTGCGACTTTTGATGACGAATACAATGTAAGGAAATTCTCCAATTTATGTTTTGTACTTGATGTATTTCTAGGCTGGAGTCCAACGATAGGAGTTTCTTTGAATTTCTGGCTTGCCAAAGTGCTTTCAAGAACAAAAATATTTCACAGATTAGAAACTCACTATTAACCTACCTGTTAACCTACCTGTTGAATTATGGATTCCAAAATTGTCCTATGATTATCCACAATTGGGCCACAAGCTTATCATTTATTTGCAGAACAACCACCAGGGAGAAGTGCTCAGGATCACAATGAAAGATTTTGTTTTCAACAAAGATTATCTCAAGTACATGGACTCTGTTTTGAAAGGTATCGTACAATACTGCATGCTGAGTGATGGCAAGTTCAAATATCCTGTCAATAAAAAGCGTACAAAACAAAACACGGAACAGATGATCTTGGCTGAGAAAAATCTCGACTTTTTCTGGGAGAAGTTTGATGCCAACTGGAAGAAACTGGCGAAAAAGAACATCGATGCATGCTTTGGAGGGCATCCGCCAAGAAAGAGAGGAGAGCTTCAAAGAACGCCAGCATGGGTTGAGCCGTTACAGATTAAAGCTACAACGCAATCTCAAAAGCCTCAAGCACCCAAGATTGGGCACATGATGAGGAAAACAATAAAGTCAAGACAAAAACGAAGAAAGCAAAATCTAAGACTAAAGGGTCCACACAGCCGCTCACGCAACCTGAAACACAACCTGAGGCTCAACCCGAGAACCCCGAGCCACAGCCCAACGTCGAGCAACCTAAAGTCAAGATCCCTCATCACCTTATGCGAGTGTTCAATACATTATTCTTCCAGCCTGGTCAGAACAATACACCAGGCGACGTCCCTTGGGTTGAATTCCTAAAAGCAATGGTACAAATGGGCTTTGCTGCACAGAAATTGTATGGGAGTGTTTGGCAATTTACACCTGTTCCAAATGAGGCAGCGGTGAAAACAGGAGTGGAAAGAAGTATTCAATTTCATGAACCGCACCCGGGCGTCAAGATTGATTTCGTCGTTGCTCGGAGAATGGGAAGAAGATTGATGAGAAGTTTTGGATGGTGGGGTGGTATGTTTGAGGAGAAATAGTGCGGTGTACGATTGATTGAATAGATCGTGCAGCGTTGGAAGGGTGATTGAATTGCATCACACCGGAAATTCAAAAACATGACCCTTGGACGCGATTTTTTTTGCCTATCGCATGAACCTCGAGCATTAGTATTGATTCGATTTGATCGGTGTCTAAAAGGGGCGGTGTAATTGGAGGGAGGGGGTACGCTGGTGTAAAACTAAACGTCATCCACGACGGTGTGGTTGTCAATGGAAAATCATCATTGACTTGATTAGTATCGGGTAGCCACAATTAACTTTCTAGTAAAGACTTTGATAGAAATCAGTTCTACCTCCATATAATTCAGTGATTAACCATCATCCCCAATGTCATTGCGACTAACTGACACTCCTCTCTTTCATCTCGAGGCATTTTTGTGTCTCCCACTACTGTAGAAGTCATTGCCTAGAGAAAAATAACACATTTACATTGAGTTGGAACCGTCCACTATCTTGACCTGTATCTGATAATGAGACCTTGATTCTAAATTATGAGAGAGTACTTAAATCTTTCTGTTTTGATTTGTTTGGGAATGAACAAGTACAAGCAGATCTTCCCTGCTCCAAATATATCTTAAAGTTTTGACGGACTAGGCTTGGGCTTTTCAAATCTTACAGTGCTGATATCATAAGCTTTGTGAAGGCTAGCTTGACATACATATCGTCGAAGTAAATGAATGAATTTAGGTTTGAAAAGCATATTCAGTTTTTGGGTATCAGGGGATCTGGTGATGAAATACATTCAGAATTGTTCTTATCTAATTCCCTAATTGCATCCTTCAATCGTGCCACAATCTAATCCTATCATTCATACCCCTCACTTATACTGATATCTCTGCCAACTCTCCGTCTTCGCTCGGAACTGATTGACAGCATGTCTTGTAACACCAGGACTACTATCATAAGTTTGCCAGGTCAAATTCTCGGAATCAGCCCACTTGACCAAGAACTTGCTATCCAACTTTGTCTCTTTATTTTGCTGATCTTCGAACAAGATTTCGTATTCCTTCTTTGGCTTTTCTTTTCCATGGCCCTTGGTGTTGTGTTGCCAGTAGTTCTTCACAGCCCTCGCATCAACATTTTGGATGGCAACCCAGCTGGGTTCTATTCCGGGGCCCCAATGAATAAGGCACTGTGGGCCATCATCTTGCTCCTCGAGAATGTAGATGGTCGAGAATGGGAATTCATTATTTGGAGAAAATGCCACCATGAACAGAGGTGTGCCGTCTGCTTTTGAATCTTTGCGCATGAGTCCCTTGTAACTACCCAAAGGCGCTGGTGCTTTTTCTTTGCCCTTGTTGGCAGCTGCATTTTGACTTCTGCTTGGACCTGCAGTAGCATTTTGATGTTTTTTGCCGGGCGCACGTTTCTGGATCGGATGATCTTCCTCTTCTCCTGTCACAAAGTCAGTATCGTGAGTTCCCCAGAGCTAAAAACAAGGAACAGAACTTACCATCATCTTCGAGGATATCATCTCTTGTCGACATTCTAGTGACCGCCTCTTTTGGTACACTTGGCCAAATCAACCACTCTGAGCCCACTCTTTTCTGTCTCGCAAACCTCTCATCTTCGTCTTCATTCTCGTCTCCATCCCACATCTCCAAAGCGCGCAACCAATCTGACGCTTTGAAAACAGCACACTTTCTCATTTCTTCACATCTGCCGTCTAACCTGTACATCACTAAATCATCCTCGCCTGTAATGACCTCGTTCTTCGCAGCTTCGATGTCATCGGTCGCAGTGACATAAATACTAGGAGGATTTCTCCGAGGTCTGTTCGCGGCACCATAATGAAGAGGGAGAAAACTGCTCGCAGTATTGCGGCTAAGACTTAGGATATCGTAAGGGCGGAAACCTATCTCCCATGGAGTGCGGGACTCCTGCGATTTGGAAGACTTTCCTTCGGCGACTTGATCATTGGAGGGATCGTGGACGATGTAGAGAGATTCGGGAACTTTGTTCGGAGGGTGGCGGAGGTCGTTCATGACTATTCGGTTAATTCGAATATCTAGATTTGGTGGTTTTGTTGATTTGAAAATAAGTGGAGAGGGTTCTTGTTAATTGCTGGAAGGTAGGAATATGTCGATTTATGTAGAGTTGGAGCTATGCAGGTAACAATGGAAGAATATTCTAGCAACTACAGTATTGTCTAGTAGAATTCAGGTCTTCGATGGTCAAGAAAGAATGTACATAGCGAGAACCCTCGATGACTGTCTCAAGTCAAGCAATGAAGAATAAGACTCGAATGTTCGGGATAAAAGGCCCGTTGATGAAGGATAGAATCAAAGAGCGAGTAATAAAGTGAATATTCGAAGTTCTACGATATTCAAAAAGATAGAGGTGACGAGTCAAATGATAGAAATCATAGGAAATCAAAATAAAAAGATTGAGTGCTCATCTCTAGTACTCTTGTGACTTTTTTTGGTCAAATCATCTAGACACTGATACCTTGACTGCGTAAAGAAGGGATTGGATTTATCTAGTAGCTAGCTGATTATCATTAGAATGAAAGAGGTAATCACAATGATTTCATAAATGAAATTCTTTCTATCCACATTCAAAGGTAGTAATTGTGGGATAAATGAGTGCCAACATGTTTCTTCAATCTGGGGGTGATTGTTGATGCAGTGTTTCATCCAAGGCTCCTTTCCACATCCAGTACATGCATGATAATTCTGCGTGAGCTTTTCACAACCTAAATATCTATCAATTCGAACTCCATTTCTTGAACTTCTCTACGGAAAGTTAGTGGTGGCACGTGACGAAACTAAGCTTGACCTCACCATCATCATACCCTACCGTGACATCTATCAACTTTTGTCATTTGAAATCTGTTTTTTCTTCTCCATCTACTTCTCCAAGATCATATCAGACTATGATAGTATGTACCTAAGAATTTATTTGGAGTTTCCCAACGCAGTGATGCTATAAAAAGTTGATGAAGAGAAAGCGATCAATCTGACAACCATCAAAACAAGAGCATTCAACCTGAATCTAAAACGTACTTTGGACAAGTAGTTGCAAATTAGATATCTTTATATGGATATCAAAAGCAATTAAACTTGTATATTTCACAACCATCCACTCAAAAAGAAATTGGGTGTCCTCTAACAGTGCTTGTATAGAAGTGTTAGAAATCCGAGTGGGCTGTCGCTAAGGATTCGGTAAACCTCGATAGTTGAAAGAGGGAACCAATCAGAAAAATTAGAACTTCTGCCATGGCAGACCACAGGAACCAGAGTTGTTGAATCTAGTGCATAGTCCCCCAGATAATCTCAAAGGTATCCTTTACCTTCAATCCTTCAATTGACTCATTGCACTTAAGCAGATATCTCCGATCAATGCATGAGAGCATATGCTGCCTGTTTGGAATTCTAACTTAGTCCCTGAATGTTCATTTTTAAGCTAGAAATAAATCCATTATCTCTCTTGACGTCATTATCAATCTGGGCTAGTCAAAAGAAAAGTGTCACCGGTATGACAATATCGCTTAGAGGGTTATGTCATGTGACTTGAATATTTCTCTTAGCTAAATCGAATATGAGTGATATACTACTTGTTAGAATCTATACCAAGGACAAATGCCTCTTTTTTTATTTTAAGTAAAGCTTCAGAACGAGAAAGTTGAGAAAGTTCTACCTCCTTGAGGTATTGTTACATTTTTGAGAATTTTACATCAAGAAATACAGACTTTCGAAGGCAAATGAAAGAACGATACTAGACCAATAATAAAACATTACTAGAAAGTAGGACAAGTCGACTAAAGTTTTATCTAAGATACCTCTAAAATCAATGGACCGTTGTTCGAGCTCCTAGTGTAGTATCTACTCTTTATTCAAAGTGTATCTCGAAAGTCGATATTAACTTCAAGGAACCTATTCAAAGAAACGAAAAAAATTGAGACGAGACTGCCTTTTCATGATCATCTAGTTCCAAATATTGGAAAACTATCTGCTTCCAGATTTTATCACGTCAAAAGTTGAGACCCTGTTGAATGAGCTAATTATTTTATTATTATCTTTACTCTTTTCATTAAATCATTCTTTTCTAAACCTAGCTTTCAAGTATCTATAACGTAACTTGACTAGAAGTGGGTCATGTCATGATATAGGTCACAAAAATCATATTTTCCTATTTGACCTTGTCCTACATACTACAAAGTGATCTACAACTATCACTGATCCAACTGAACTATCACTATCCTTTTCCTTTTCTATCTCTCCTTCTACCTGATCAATTTGACGCTTGGATGGTCTATTACATCGTCGTTTTGGTAAAAGTGTTTGTTTAACCTCCTCGATAATTTTCAATACTTTTTCAGTATTAAATACAAATTCACTTTTTAATTTTATTCTCTTTCCATTTTTTCATTTCTTTTGTATTTCAAGTAACTCTTTATGTTTTTGAAGTTCCTTTCGAAAAATAGCATTTTCAGCATTTAAACTTTCAATCTGATGAGTTATTCGCTTTACATATCTCTGTACTGGAGAAGTAGGCAGATTATTAGTGGATAAAGCTGAATTGAATACCTTATTTGCTTGTCGCAGCTCAATATCATTCGGGGGAGAGCTATTAAGCAAAAAGAGATCTAGATCTTCTAGGTTTGCTGGTGTATTTGGAGTAGAAGGTGGTAATAAAAGCAAAGTTGGAAGATTATTTAGAACTTGACGAGGACTAAATGGATTCAAACCTGTTCCTTTCCATTCGCTTTTGATATTTTGATAAATAAGACCTTTTTCTCTTATCTTTTGAAAAAGCTGTACCCAATCAGACCGTTGTATTCGTTGTATTCCTGCTCGAGAGTATCAATCAACCTCTTAGGCATGATATCGCTTCATCGGTCCATACACTCCAACATCCAATGGCTGAAGTAGATGCAAGCAATGAGGTGATAGAATAAGAAGATCAATCTCCTCAATACAGAAAGCAATTAAACTTCCTGTAATATGACTAAAATGATTATTTATAATCAATAATCGAGGCTGATCTCCTAATATTTTTCGAGATTCTGGCTCAAAAACCTTACATATTCATTCAAAGCCATAACTATTAGAAGTCCACCCACTATTGCTTGTTGAGAAATACCAGTTTGGAGGAGTGTTAGTTGGAATTTATACAGTGTTGGTATTCTAAGCCTTGAAAATGATTATAGAGGATAAAGAGCCTCTATCTACATTCACACATTCCAATATAGTTATCCACTCTTGCTTTCCTACTGTAACCTTCCAATTCGATTTGAAAGTAGAATCCATAATTATACATATTGATTCTATTTCTTCAATTGTATATCCTATCTTATCCATATTATATATATTCTTGAGTTTATAATGTCGTTCTTCGATTCGTACTTGAAATATTGAAAACCATATTGAAATTGTTTCAAATGTAGCTTCTTTATGCCTTACAGATTTCAATTTACAAGAATAGATTCCTTTAAGTTTGGGATATCGATTTAAGAACCTATAGATTCATTATTGACCTATATGATTTGATTGAAAAAATAAAGGGGTAAGTCAACTACCCCACTTTCCGACCACCCCCTCTTTTCGACCACCTCAAAAACCACACCGCTTTGAGTAATTATAAAATTTATACTTTGAATAACTCAACAATGCTTTAATCAATTGATTTGAAATTTTGATATTATTATAATTGTGATATGAAGAATAGATATACCGAAGAAGATATCGCAGAGGCTCTTAGAGCGATTACAAATGGAGCAAGCATACGAAGAGCTAGCTTGGATTATGGTGTTCCACGTACCACACTTCACGATCGAATATATGGTGGAGTTTCGCATCAAAAAGGCGCCCAAATACTTCAAAAGTTATCTCCAATTCAGGAGAATCGACTAGCAGAATGGATATTAGTACAGGAAGCTCTTGGTACTAGCCCTACACATCGTCAAATCAGAGAGATGGCAGAGCACCTCCTTATTGTACGAGGGGAGGATCCCTCACTTGGAAAGAAATGGATACATAGCTTTTTTCGAAGGCATCCTAATATTGGAACTAAGAAGCAACATCAAATCGATTCTGCACGAGTTTCAGGTGCTACATCTGATATTATTAAGAAGTGGTTCCGGAACCTCGCAATCCCTGAAATCAAGGCTATTAAGCCGGCCAACAGATGGAATATGGATGAAGCAGGTATAATGGAGGGTCAGGGTCTTAATGGACTAGTAGTAGGAAGCACTGATCGAAGATTTATTCAAAAAAAGCAACCTGGATCTCGAATTTGGACCTCTTTTATAGAATGCATTTCAGCCAATGGAAAAAGCATTACTCCCCTTGTAATATATAAGGGAAAATCAGTTCAACAACAATGGTTTCCAACAGATTTGACTCTATTCAAGGGTTGGAACTTTACCGCTACAGAAAATGGATGGACTACAGATGCTACAGCTTTAGAATGGCTGAAAAAGATCTATATCCCTCAAACTACCCCTATTCAGCCGGAAAATTCAAGACTCCTCATTTTGGACGGACACGGAAGCCATGAAACTACAGCATTTATGTTAGAATGCTTTAATAACAACATATATCTCTTATTTCTCCCACCACATACGTCACACGTACTACAACCACTCGATTTATCTGTGTTCTCACCCCTAAAAAGTGCATATCGAATCGAACTTAATAAATTAAGTCTATTATCCGATTCCTCACCAATTGGAAAGCGCAATTTCCTTTCTTGCTATCGGAAGGCTAGAATAGAAGGTTTAACTATTCAAAATATCAAGTCTGGGTGGCAAGCTAGTGGTCTTTGGCCCAAAAATATGGCTAAACCTCTTATGAGTCGACTTTTGCTTGAAAATAGCAATAGAGAGGTTTTATCACTTAATCCTGAATCTGATGATGATCCTATTCTTCAATGGAATATATATTCATCGTTTATTCTATGGAAAACCCCTCAAAAAGGAGCCGATATCAGAAAATATAGAGATATAATGATTCAAGAGAAGGAGATCGATTTGCCAACACGA